CCCCAAAAGGTGCAAAGGAAATGAATGGTGTGTGAAGCTGCCACCACATGGCATGTCTAGCTACAACTCATAGCACTTCCTCATTGGCTATCAGTCCCCACAAGAACACCCTGGCTCCCTGAGCATCCAAAAGCAACTGTGATGCCTAATGCAGGTCACTTGGACTGGGACATCCAGGATCAAAGCAGAGAGAAGAGTTTTCAAAGGCCTGGGGTGGGGGGAGTGAGCAGAGGACTATTGCTCAGTTCGATGACTGATTTCCTTCTCCACTTAGGAGTCAGTTCCCACTGAGTTTATCATACTTCCAGTCTGGAAGGAAGGGAGGAGTGCAACTGGCAAAGGAGGTGAGCAATCTTTCCTCTAAAGGAGGAACTCCGAATTTGAGCACCAAAGTACCTCGCAGCTTTACCCAGACCCTAGCATGGGAATTTATGAAGAGCGCAGGGGGTGAGGACACCTCCTCCTGGTATGGAGTGAGGGATATATATATCTCTCTCTCTCTCCATACACTCATTCTCCACTTGTACCCCTAACACACACACGGAGACACACAACGGCTGCTTTTACGGAGTAGCTTAGACCGCACCAACTGTCCCCTTCCTGCTCCGGTGGCGCCACCCCAGCTCGATTCCCGCGTGCGTCCCTGCCCGCGCTGGCTGCCACATGACTCTGCCGCCTTGCCCCAGACAACAGGCTCCGTGCCAGGCCTCTCTGCATCCCCTGGGCGCTCGCTCCCTTCCCCGGCTCCCTCTGGGCCCAGTGTGCTAGGTTCTCGGGTCTCACAGCACCCGCCCCTCCCCAAGGGTCCTGCGGGCCTGATGCCCGCCTCACCCGTTCTCCATGGTCTCGCAGCAGCCCTCTCGATGAACCTGCTCCGGTGTGCTCCGGTGTGCTCCGGTGTGCTCCGGTGTGCTCCAGTGTGCTCCGATCCGCTCGGATCCTCTCCGCTATGCTGAACTGAGCAAGGCTGCCCGGTCTGGTCCGCACAGTTCGCTCACTGGTCTAGGCTCTGGCTTATATCCCCAGCCCTGGAGTCCCCAGCCAATGGCAAGCAAGCACGCGGGCCGGCCCCGTCTCCATGGTGACACACCCTAATTCAATCGGCTGAACCTGGGCTGTAAATCTAATCGGAGTTCTTCCCAGCCCTAAACCTTCTCCCTCGGGGCGCGGGGTTGGGGGGCGGACCGGAGCGCACCCAGCATTTCATCTCCGTACCCATTCCAGTCCGCAGGGCAGGAATTCCCAGCAAGAAGGCCTGTGCGGAAATAGGGCTAGAAGTCGAGAGGAAAGTCCCCAGCCCTCTCCCTGCAACCTCATTCCAGCTGTGTCAATAGCAAACCGTGAGAGATTCAAAAAGAAAAAAATGTCAAACCTTAGATTGCACAACCCCAGAATAAAAATGAAGCGAGCCTGTGTCTGAGTTGCTGCCTGGACAAGGGAAGCTGGGTCGCCCCTGGCAACAGTTCTTACTTGGAGGATACAGCGTTTAGGAGAGCACATCCAGGCCCAGACCGGGAGAAGAAAAAGTTCTCAGGCAAGAATTCCTGGGTCCTAGATGCCGACGGAAAGGATGAGGATGGATTTGGTGGGTAGGGACACAGATAATCCCTTGATCTGCGCAATACTGATCCAAGCAATTCAGGTAACTAGAGGACTCTTCCCAAGAGGAAAATTCTGTTATCAGAATACATGGGTACCAGAATATAACATAAATAGCCTGTCTTTGGTAGAATACAACTATTTCTTCTCCGCACATTTACAAATTAACCAACCTTACATCAAATCACAAATCAATGGTCCTTTCTTAGCTATTGGAATCTTCCACTTCTTCCCTCCTCCAAACTCTTTCAGCTTGCCGTTTTACCCACTTCTGTGGCCAGCCACTATTTTCCAACTGTTTTTCTCATTCATTTAAGAAATATTTATTGAGCATCATCTATGCACCAGTACTGTTCTAGTGCTAGGGACACAAGAATAAAAACAATATCTGTAAAATTAAAAAAAATACACACACACACACACACACATATATACACACACACACACACACACACACACACACGAAGGTCAGGCGCGGTGGCTCACACCTGTAATCCCAGCACTTTGGGAGGCCGAGGTGGGCGGATCACCTGAGGTCAGGAGTTGGAGACCAACCTGGCCAACATGGCAAAACCCCGTCTCTACTGAAAATACAAAAAATTAGCTGGGCATGGTGGCAGGCATCTGTAATCCCAGCTACTTGGGAGGCTGAGGCAGAGAGAATGGCTTGAACCTGGGAGGCAGAGGTTACGGTGAGCTGAGATCGCACCATTGCACTCCAGCCTGGACAACAGAGCGAGTGGCTGGTTCCTGAGAACTTATTAGCACTTTGAAAATAACAATGCACACAAATTGAAAGAAAAATATTTCGTTCTTAAATAACCACAAATAATTATTTATGGGATGTGTGCATCTGTTTGGCACTACTCAACTTCTCACATGTTGGAATCCAATGCTGCCACCCTCAATTTCTGTTCCATGCTGATTTTTACACAGTACTTTTTTTTTTTTTTTTTTTACATATTACTTAATTTTTATCAGAGGGACCTTCTAAAACCATCTTTTGTAAAGATATGTTGTCTGTATATATATATTTTGAGACAGGGTCTCACTCTGTCACCCAGGCTGGAGTACAGTGGCATGATCTTGACTCACTGGATTCTCTGCCTTCTGGGTTTGAGCCATTCTCTGGCTTATCAGCCTGCCGAGTAGCTGGGATTACAGGCTCCTGCCACCACACCTAGCTAATTTTTTGTATTTTTAGTAGAGACAGAGTTTTGCCTTATTGGCCAAGCTGGCCTCGAACTTCTGACCTCAATTGATCTGCCCGCCTCGGCCTCTCAAAGTGCTGAGAGTATAGGCATGAGCTACCACACCCGACCAGATATACTGTCATCGAAAGGAATGTAGCACAATCTAGTGTTCCAACTGTGAATCACCTCAAGTTAATAGGTCACACTGTGTTTAAGAAATATAAAATATTGCTGTGTTTCCTTTGAAAATTAAAACTACTCCACAGTACCCTTGTGAGCTTGTACTTTGGCACAGAGTTTGGGAATCATGGCCCCAGTCCCTCCATGACACCTCATTCCTGAATCTACATAGTGTAAATGAATGGGCTCTAATAAAACTATCTGTGTATGAATGCCATCTTCACCCCTTATTTACTCGTTGTGTGGTCCTAGGCAAGTAAAATTCTTATTATGCCTCAATTTTTTCCTCTGTAAAATAGCGATAATAGTACTATTTTTGCAAAGATTATATAGAGTACCTTTTACATGTTTAGGTAAGTGCCTGACTATATAATAAGCACACATTAAATGCTGGCTATTATTATTAATCTCCATTGTCTCTTTCTCTTTTGATCTTTCTAGACTCACCTAACCATAAATTGAATCAAAATTAAAACTAGAGGTATATCCAGCCTATCAATTCCAGTGAATCCCACACTGTTCAAAACAGAAGGCACTAGCCATGTGTGGCTATTTAAAAGTAATAAAATTAAGATGAAATATAATAAAAATAAAAATTCAGTTACCTAATCATACTAATTACATTGTAACTTCTCAATAGCCACATGTGGTTAGTGGCTACCATATTGCATAGCATAATTACGTTTTTATGCTAGAGCACAGCACTGCTCTTATCTTTTCTAGTCACTGCTACCTTGTATCCACATAAAAGAAACTGGAACTGTGCTTTATTATTTACTTTTAGGGTAAAAGAGTTCCTGTAGCATTCCTATAGACAGGAACCAATCATCAATCTTGGATGATTAGAGTTCATTAATGCCTTATTACCCTTTCTTCTATCTTCTCATCACTTCTATCTTCAGAGGAACTCCTTGTCCAGGAACATACTTAGTAACACACTTATCCTCTACCCTCAAGATCAAGGAAACTAAAAAAAGGTGGCAGGAATAGGTTCTCAGTCACTCAGTATTGCTTTGTGAAGTGGGGAGACATCTCTAGATAGTGACTCCCAATGTCAACAATTATAGAAGCCAGCTCTATAGGCCTGTCAGGATCCTTTAGATAGGGAACCTGTTTTATTCCTGCCCTCTCAACTGAGATCTCTCATTATCTCTAGATCACAAGCTAAATATGCTCTTTTAAAAATATCTACGCCTGGCCAGGCACAGTGCCTCAGACCTGTAATCTCAGCACTTTGGGAGGCCAAGACAGGAGGATTAGTTGAGCCCAGAAATTTGAGACCAGCCTGAGCACATGGTGAAGCCCCACCTCTACAAAAAATACAAAAATTAGCCAGGTGTGGTGGCATCTGTGGTCCCAGCTACTAGGGAGGCTGAGGCAAGAGAAT